TCAAAAGGATAGCTTGAGAGACTCAAGGAAGAGAGATAAGAAGGTTCTCTGTCTAATCTATCAAGGATTAGATGAAGATACTTTTGAGAAGATTTCTGGAGTCAAGTCAGCCAAGGAAGCATGGGAGAAGCTTAAGATCTCTTACAAGGGAGCAGATCAAGTCAAAAAGGTACGTCTTCAAACTTTGAGAGGAGAGTTTGAAGCTTTGCATATGAAGGAAGGTGAACTAGTCTCTGATTACTTTTCAAGAGTTTTCGAAGTCTCCAAGAAATTTATGAGGTAACTGAAAATCTAGACAATGTTACCTTATTATGTCTATTTGCATATTGTGAGTCCATGAACTTCCAAGAAGCAATTGAAACGAAGAGTTGGAGAAATGCAATGGATGAAGAGATCAAGGCAATAAAGAAGAATGATACTTGAGAGCTAGTCTCGCTTCCAAAAGGGCACAAAGTAATTGGTGTCAAGTGGGTTTACAAAGCAAAGAAGGACTCCAAAGGAGAAGTTCAAAGATAGAAAGCAAGATTGGTGGCGAAGGGCTACAGTCAAAGGGCTGGCATCGACTATGACGAGGTATTTGCTTCAGTTGCTCGACTAGAAACGGTAAGACTTATTATATCTTTAGCAGCTCAAAATAATTGGAAGATACATCAAATGGATGTCAAATCCGCCTTCTTAAATGGAGTTCTTGAAGAAGAAGTCTACATTAAGCAGCCACAAGGATATGAAGTCAAAGGTGAAGAAGATAAAGTCTTGAAATTAAAGAAGGCTCTTTATGGGTTGAAACAAGCCCTGAGAGCTGGGAATGTTCGGATTGACAAGTACTTCAAAGAAGCGAATTTCATCAAGTGTCCATATGAGCATGCACTCTATATCAAAGCTAAAGGTAAAGATATCTTGATTGTATGTTTGTATGTCGATGACTTGATTTTTACCGGAAACAATCCAAGCATGTTTGAGGAATTCAAGAAGGATATGACAAAGGAATTTGAAATGACCGAAATGGGGCTTATGTCATATTATCTCGAAATTGAAGTAAAACAAGGAAACAAAGGAATTTTTATTACTCAAGAAAGTTATGCCAAAGACCTCCTCGAGAAGTTTAAGATGGATGATGCTAATCCAGTTGGTACTCCTATGGAATGCGACATCAAGTTGAGTAAAGATGAAGAGGGAGAAAAAGTAGATCCAACCCTCTATAAAAGTCTTGTTGGAAGTTTGCGCTATTTAACTTGTACAACACCAGACATTCTTTATGCCGTTGGAGTTGTAAGTCGGTACATGGAAGCTCCAACAATTACTCACTTCAATACATCCAAGGTACGACAAGCTATGGCCTATACTATTCCATTTCTAACGATTACAAGCTTGTTGGATATAGTGATAGCGATTGGAGTGGAGATATGGATGACCGAAAGAGCACAAGTGGATTTCTGTTCTACATGGGAGACACAGCCTTTACTTGGATGTCCAAGAAGCAGCCTATTGTCACTTTGTCTACATGTAAAGCAGAGTATGTAGCTGCAACTTCATGTGTTTGTCATGTTGTTTGGCTACGCAACCTATTGAAGGAGTTAAGCTTGCCACAAGTGGAGCCAACAAAGATTTTCGTAGACAACAAGTCGACAATAGCATTAACAAAAAACCCAGTCTTCCATGATCGAAGTAAGCACATCCACACTCGTTACCATTACATTAGAGAATGCATCAGCAACAAGGATGTGCAAATGAAATATGTGAAGACACATGATCAGGTAGCAGATATCTTCACCAAACCTCTGAAGAAAGAAGTCTTTATGAAGTTGAGAATTTTGCTTGGAGTACAAAATCAAGTTTAAGAGGGGGTGTTGGAATATAAATTGATTTTGTATGTTGGGCCTAAAAGATAAAAGTCCAATATTAGTAAAGGCCTAAATAGCATTCTAGAAAATCCTATCTAGAAGGATTCTAGAATGTTCTACAAAAATATCTAGATAAGTTTAGAATTATAGGAATGTTTTAGAAAGTTCTAGAAAATAAATTATAACTCTTAGATGAATGTTGTGGTGACAAGATCATAACCATTGGTTAAAGATGTGCCATTAGTATAAATAGGGAATGATTGTATCATTTGAAAACAAGTCAAAAAGTTTAGAAGCACTCAATACAAGTTTTTCTTCTTCTCTCAAAATCTTCCAACCTCTCTCAATCTTAAACACTTCCTTCTGGCCTTTAAAGTTTCCTCCCAACAACCCACCCGTCAATTTTATTAAAATGCAGAGGTATTCAAATTAATACATATATTTCGGTTACCATCTACTTGTGAATTTATACCTGAATTGCTATCTGTTAGACAACAGTGGATTATCTGTGAGTGGCTTAAATCCTTAGCAGGAGTTTGTCCATTTGTTGCTTCAAGTTGTGGAATGTTATTTCTCGTCACACCATCTGACAAATTAGCTTCACCTAGCTGTTTCCAGGATGAAAATTGTCAGCATTAACCTTTAAAGTTTTAGCAGGTGCTTCCAAATTATCATCATCGCTGAACTGCATCCTTGCTCCCAGAATTAATAATCGGACACCTGCTCCAGTGGCAGAGCTGCACATTTAAGATCAACACCAACAATCTAAGCAGGATAGAGCTAGCTCAGAATGCTAAAATAATATTAGAGGAGAAAATAAGCCAGCTAGCTCAGAATGTAAAATATAATTACTCACTATTTTAATTGTGATTATTTCTTGTTTCAAAACAAAAGTGTAAGTTCCAACTATTTATCTTTTGATTTGTACCATCTAATTTTTTGAAACTGTATTAAATCAATCAAATGGATGACGATAACATGAGATTGGAAAGGTTTCATCACTACCAGACCAACCTTTTAACATTTTTTTAATAAAATTAGACGACAAATTAAAATGTTGTAACTGAAGAAAATTACAGTGACAAAGAAAGCCATATTATCGTAATATTGCGTAATAATGATGAAAATTAGATAATAACATTAGAACTTGAATTATGCAAACTAAGTCTTGAATATATGAAACTAATCCAACTAGAAAAGTGAAGCAAAACGAGCACGGAAATAAGCACAATTTGGTAATTTTTGTGCTCAGAAATTCAGTCTCCTCAGCAGATTAGGAACTAATGGTGCGGCGCAGCCAGACACAATACATAGCCATGCTACCCATTGGGAAATACTGTCACCGCTTGGTACAAGGTTAAGCATGGATGCACTGTAGTTGAATGACATGAAAAATGTCAACAATAGCATAAGATATTGCAAAGGAAAGCCAATGGCTAGCAGAGTGATAATATGAAAAGAGGTATAATATCCGATGCTGTTGCCCAGAATAAACAACAAAAATGTTCCTCTTGATTTTGTAGCCACGATGGATTTTCCAGCACTGTATTGGTGTGTGTCTTCCTGCCACACTCCTCCAGGGGGACTAAGCACAGCCTGATAGGTTGCTGTTATCATAAGTGCAGTCACAGTTAGCAGTATATTACGCACATCATTTGTAGAATCCCTGTTAGGTTTGTATCCGAATAACTCCCCTGAATTTGACACAGTTGATGGTCAACTTTCAGAAGCTCAAGCACCAGCTGAACATGGCCATTGGCAGAGGCCAGGTGCATGGCAGTAAACCCATCTTGGTTAAGTTCATAACAAATTGGTTCTTCAGTTTCAACATTTTTTGTTCGAAAGAAACGTGACCACACATTGATGCAATGTGTAGAGGAGTTTGAGCTCCATGCAAGGCAACCCTATCCAGCACCAACATCTTCTCTCATCAACCTTTCAAGTTCATCAACGTTTCCTGTGGCTGCAGCTTTAGCCATTCTCCCATTCATTTCCTTCATAAACTTTTCCAGCACTACCAAACAATGCTTGTGCTTCAATCATAATAAAATTTTCACCACATTCACAGTCATTCCATTCTTTAAAATAATAAAACTCCTTTTCTTAATTAGGTTTATAGTATAGGAATGTGTTGTTTACATATAAATCATATAAAACTTTATTGTAATTAGAGGTGGTTGAAAGTAGTATATTTTATGGATCGTGATTACAGTAGATACAAAAAGTATCTTACTTAATTAAGAGAGATATAGTGTGCATAATTTGCATATTATATCGTCTACATAGTAACCGATAAAAAACTCCACATAATAATTCACGTAAAAATCCTATATTTACTAAAGATTTTTTAAAATCCAAAACAAGAGATGAGAGAGTGAAGAAAATTCACTTATTAGGAGATTAGGTGTTTGTCGTCTGCTGGAGGTTGGGTGGAGAAAAGGAAACCACTTCAGGTTATTATAATAATTCTTTTTAATATTAATTTCCTTTAAATTTTTAATATTAATTTCCTTTAAATTATGTATATGACATGTTATGTGGTTATACCTATAAGTATAATAATGGTTTATATAAGTGTAATAATGGTAATGAATTATTGTTTTTAGTTATTAAGTTTGTGATATTTTATTTTAGAATATTTATTATATTAAAATATGTGATGTTACATATAAGATTAACATTGTTTTATCTTATGAACTATAATATAATGATGTTATTTTTTTTTCAAAATATTAAAAGATGTTTTTCATTGATGTTATGCTTTTCAGAACCTTTTCTGTATATCATCGTTTTATTATTTATTTTCACTAAAGTCATAGATTCTCCCTTAAAAATAAATCAAATATATAAGACTTAGTCTCTAAAATTTTATTGTCTAAAAGGAAACTTCTCAAGCAATAACCTTTTCAGTTATGTGATAACTTTCTCCCTAAGTTATAGCCACCTAATTATATTCTATATAAAGAAGGAGATGGAATTTTATTAGATTACTTCTACCCTATGACTTCTATACCTCATTAAAAACTAACAAAAACATGGAGAACAAAAAAAAACAATAAACCATCCCATACCTTTCACAAAGGGGCATTTCATCGTTAAAGTACAGAAAAAAAAACATATAACTTAAATAATATAGAAAGAAAGGTCAAAATTACACGAGAAAATTATTTTTTCTCCCTGTACTCACAACTTTATCATAACTATTTACTTTTTAGATTATATTACAGGCTTAATACCTCTTTTGGTCCCTGAAAGGAGGGGAATGTTCAAGTGCGTCCTACGTTTTTTAAAAAGTTAAATGTGGTCCCAACTTGTGAAAAAAGTGTGCAATTAAATCTTTTTTGGTTACAACGTCAAATTTTTAACGGTGCAGCTGCCACCCTAGACAAAAGTTAATGACGTGTACAATTTCTCTGATTGCATGGCAACCCTAATTCCCAAACCCTAGCTTCCTTGTGCCGCCAGCACCATGGGCAACCGTAGGCCGCCGTCAGCCACCTTGCCGTCTTGTCGCAACCTCGCCATCACCCAACACTAGCGTCGCCGCCGGTAGCCACCATCGTCACCAATACAGAACACGAACGCCAAAGTCGCGAGTCCTCCATCATCATCTTCAGCATCTTCCTCGACTTCCATCTCCACCATGAGACACTTTTCAGGTCGCCGTAGAGCTGCAAGGACCGCCATCCACCATGACCATTGCAAGAGCACTCTCTCGCACACACCTGTAGAAACCCAAACGGAGAAATCCCCAATTCCAAAAATCTTTCGAAACCTAAATCACCGCCACAACTCTTCAATTCATCTGCTCGTGAGTTTC